GAGCTGAAAATCCAGCCGGGATGGCCGGGAGGTCTCTCTTTTGACCGGCACCTTGAGACGCGGCAGAGTGAAGCATGGGGCTGCCGGAGTTGCGGGCACGGGTTTAGGGACTTATTGAGTTTCTAGGGCTTTAGTCGTGGGTTTTTGGGCCCTAGGGTTTTAGGGCTTCGTTGGGTTTTGCATTTTTTGGGCTTGAGGGTTTTGCTTGGCTTTGGGTTCTAGGGCTGTAGGGGAGGTTCAGGCTACTTCGAATGGACTGATCAGAGTCCGCTCCGGTCCCCGGTTTTGAACGGCCACCGCTGCTGCACGTGCTGGCGTGCTAGGAGCCCAAATCTGGAAATGCCATCTCCACGAAAGCGAATGCTCATGATGAAGTTTTCGCTGCTCTCATTGCTGGGCATGTCATCATCTGAAACTGGGCATGGCACGAGCGGATCTTCCGCCTGCAGCAAGTGAGAGATTGATCTGTCATAAACCCGTGAAGCCTCAACTGATACACGCTCAACAAACCTGCTCCCCGTGTTTTCAGAGAGAGAGAGAGAGAGAGAGAGAGAGCCTCAATTCGATTATACCCACATGGGGGGTTTCCGAAAATAGGGGTACCCCTATAATCATCCTTACTATAGGACCCCCCAAAAAGGGTACCTCTATTTTCCTAAACCCCCCCCCCCCCCCCCACATCACAAACCTGGGCACATCTACCAACATGCAGCGATCCTGTGCTTGCGATGGGCGGCTGCCACCTCGCCAGGGGAGATGCAGTCCGGCTCTACGAATGTGATTGGTCGGTGCGAAGGCCACCTTTACCTTTCTATGACATGCTGTGGCCCTAAACCCTAGACCCAAAAACTTCTACAACTCCAAAATGGCCATGATTCATCCCGTCTCCTGGTATAAGACGCGAACTTCCCACGAGACGCTACCCTTTTGCCAGGCCTGAACTTGGCGGTGCCTGCAGAGCTTGTTAGAACGATGTGAATCATACAAATTATCTTAATAATATCAACAATATTAATATTATTGATAATACTAATAGTTCTAATACGAATAACAGTAATAAGAGAAATTATGATTAAAAAAACTCAAAAAAATAAGATGAAGATAACAACAAGAAACAACAAGAAAAACATATATATATATATATATATATATATATATATATATCTCTATATATATATATAATGCTAAGGCCGAGCTTCAATCTGAGTGGTTGCTAGAGGAGGCATTTTGGGTCCCTGAAACGGCTTGCTGAATTAGTATGTACAAGTTGGGCCTCCCTACTTCAATGCCTAGGCTCCCTGCCGTTGCCATGCCACCCCCCCCCCCCCCCCCCCCCCCCCCCCCCCCCCCCCCCCCCTCACCCTTCCCCCAAGACGCCACAACCGAATCTGAGTGTAAACACCAATCCGGGGGGCAAACCTAGGAAGGTCCATACGAGCAGGCTGTGAGATTGCTGCTTGTCCAAACTTGTCAACGCTCCGGGCACCTTGGCTTTTGCCTTCGCCTGCAGTCGCGTGCAGGGATGCTGTACAAGGTTGCAGCAGGCTACGTGCACTGAATATGCCTGTAAGTTCCCTCTTTGGTAGAAAAGAAGTGCGGCAAGCCTACATTACACCTCAGAGCTTGCACACCAGGCTACCTGTCTGCATAGTATAATATAGTATTTCACGTACTGTATGGGTTTAAATCTATGGCGCAGCGACAGTACGGCGCAGCACTTCATAGTCTAGCCGACAGACCCGATGACAGCAGGCAAAGGGTGTTCCAGTGCCAAACACGGCAAGTATCGCCACATTCGGCTAAAGCAATATTACATTTTCTCTACATTTTACATCTTGAACCTCTACAAGTGCGCGAAAAGGTACTGAGAAATTTTCAAGAGCCTTCGGAGATTCCTCAGGTCTTCGCGCTTTGCCGCTTTGCCCTCTCTCCGGGGCCACAGTTACGGGGTCTGAAGAAAAACGCCTTTTTGCAGCTGAAAGTTTCCACCCTGCATCCGAAACACGCAATATCACGCATCTGCACAAGGTGCCGGCGCCCACCTCGAGCTCCGGGCGTGCCGCTCCCTTCAGGGCTTTAGGTTGAAGAGGTTTTCGAATTTCTGGTAAATTTGGAGCTTGGGCGCACAGCTTGTTGCAACAACTCATGGCTTACTGCACGTTCACCTTGCAGAAAGTGCCGATTCACACGGGCGTGGAAGGCAACAAACACCAAGCAACACGGCTCGTGTTGGTTGCGAGACATGAAACGGCAAAAGCCTTAGCCTGCCAGCCTTATGGGCTTGAAATGTGATCCAGAAGAACCATAAAGCTGTATTGACACTCACGTGCAATGACAAATCGTGTGAACTTACCTGCAGATCAACTGTTTGGCACACGTGCGGTTCCTTAATACTCACCTATCACAGGCTTCTGTAGCTTCATGCCTGCAATCACCGAGCTTGAAAATGACGAATTTCCATCACAAGTCAACCAGGCTTAGGTTTCACGGTTTTAGGCTTCGGGCTTTAAGGCTTTCAGCCTATCAAGTTCTCTGTCGGGATTTAGAGTTTCCACGCGTCACAGAAACGGAAAACTCAACACTCCCTACATTTGGGTGCACTGAGTTGGGCGGAACCTTCAGCCGGCGAGAACTTGACAGTTTCACGATGCCTTCGAAGTTGCTGTAAGCACTAGCGATGTCTGACCACCCAACTTTCATTCATTGCAAGAGTGTACTCCAAACCTGCACCATCGGGGAAGGTCAGTCCCAAAACCCACGCCCCCTCCCCATCAGCAGATGGTATGGTCTACAGCTGCACCATTTCGCGAGTTGTGTGTGTTTGTGTGTGTGTGTGTGTGTGTGTAAAAATAGGGAGGACCCAAGCACCGGAGTAAACTGTTCAAAGCATTGGGCCTTGGCTTTCGCCGCCGCAGCCTTCTGCAGCTGCTGTTGCAGCTGCTGCTGTTGGAGCTGCTGCTGCTGCAGCTGCTGCTGATGCAGCTGGTGCTCCTTTTGCTCCTTCTCAAGCTTGGCTTTGGCCTTGGCCCTCGCCTCAGCCTCGGCCTTCTCCCTGGCCTCCAGTCTTTCAGACAAACTCTCTTGGGGGATGGGCTGGGGGAGTGGTCTTGAGACCTTTTGAGTATTGCCTATATGAACGGCTTTGACTGTTCTTCAGATGGATACTTTTCAGAGAACCTGGGGATTGCAGGGGAATACTGCGCAGGCCTTCCAGATTTTCGGGTTTAAGTCTACGCGTGCTGTTCATACTTTCTGGGCCCGGGGTTTCCCAAAAGTATTCTGCAAACTCAGTTTGTTGGGGGTGATGTGAGTTGGGGAGGGGGGTGGTAGTTTTTTGGGACAAGGTCAAGCGCCTTGGATTCAGCCAAGGAAGGCAGGAAAACTTCAGGCGTTAAGGCCCTGAAAGCTTCAGGTATGGGGGCTGGTTTCAGACCTTCTGGCCGTAAAGGTTTCAGGGCTTAAGGGCCTTGGTTTCAGCCCAGGTTCTCCTCAACGTGTTTGGTGGCCCTACGAAAACTGGGGGCAACATTATGAGCGATGACGTTGGACTTAGGAGATGCTTCGTGGTCCACTTTCAAGGTTCCTTGCACTCGCCTGCGTGCTGAACTTGGCCTGTGGAATCATCCTCTGTGAATTCTTTGAGGGTGCTGAGCAAGGGCTTGTAGTCGGGTCATCCGAAAGCAGTGAAAGCTGGAGCCTTTGCAAATCGACTCAGTGTACAAAATATGCACATAAACAAGTCAATAGACATACAGATCGAGTCCACAAAATAAACACCACTATGCGCATATACATACATATGATTCACTTGTTGTACTTGAGCAATGTTCTAATACGTGAATACATACAGACACACACACACACACACACTTACACACTTACACTTACTTCAGCACATCAGCGCCTTCTGCCGCGCAGCCTCCTCCGCTCGGGCACGGGCCTGGGCCTCGAGCGCCCGGACCCTTTCCGCCTCCGCGCGCGCCTCACGACGTTCGAGGAGATGCTTGAGGCTGAGAAGTGGGATCGAGCGCTGCTCCTCGCGCAATGCTTCCATAAATCCTCAAAGGGCATGCTGCAAAGTGTTTCTAAGACCAGCGCTTGGCCCACTTGGCAACAGCTCAGCAGGGTCGGGTAGCGTGCTCAGAGATGCCCAGCGATCCGAAGCAAGCCCACAACTACGTCAACTTATCGACGATCCCTGAAGTGAAGCTGAGAGCAGCCCCGCAGCTTCCTTTAAGTTCGAAGGCAACTTTTGGGCATGTCCTATCCTGCTCTGGGCTCGCGGAACGATTCCCCTCCCCTCTACGAGTGGCTTTTGCAGAGCCCTTCTGTCAGACACGCAAAACCTGAAACAACCAACAACCCCTCAAATGCAAAACCGCCGAGCCGCACCTGCACCACAAATGATCATACGATGTTCAGCATGATAATGAACTTACCACAGAGTTGGGGACGCCTTCGCCTGAGCCTCGGCCTCCGCCAGGGCCTTGGCTTGTGCCTGTGCGGATTCAGCCTTCGGCAGCCACATGTTCCGAGAATATTCCGAGAGACTCGCGAACATCGTGTAATCTTGTATGCAATTATACATATATATATACACATATGTATATATATATATACATATATATATATATATATATTAGTGTACTATCTATGTATATATGTACACTCATATATATCTATATACACACTTAAAATAATATCATATATGTATTCCAATATGGCTCAGGTTGTCTCAGGCCTCAGCTTGGGCTTGTGGCAGCGCAACTGCTGCAGTGTGCTGCATCTCGTTGCTTCTGTTTGCTTTCCACATTGACCGGGGCAAGGCCATGCCAAGATACGACTACAAGTAGAGCACTTCCTAAGGTCCTACCCCCCCCTCTCAAAACACACCCCAAGTGAATTCGGCTTCAGATTCAGAAACCAAAACGAGCCTATGACGATGCCAGATCCTACAACATTTTCTATGGCATATCTTTACTATGACAGATCTTGGAATATCAATTGGCACCCACCGCCGAATTTCTTTTAACCGTACCGCACCGCACAGCTGGGCGAGCCTGGAGCCTGGCTTGGAGCTGGGCTTTGGCCCTGGCGGAAATGGGGGGGGGGGCGGGGGCGGGGTTCCACAAAAAGTCGGGGTTGGTCGTCCCTTTTTCTTTTTTTGGGGGGGGGGGGAGGGGAGGGGTCCTTTTTGAAGTCATCCAAGTGGGTGTTTCTACTGAATTTCGGGAACCCCCCCAATGTTTTTAATCTCCCAAATACTAAGCCAGCAGCATGTATTTATCGGTACTTGGGCACCGCGCAGTACATGCCACTTTAGGGCTCCGCTCCTAAAAACAACCCTCAACATCTACCGCTTAGAGAACTTCGAGAGGGTCGCTAAGAATGCGGCGGTGCCCTGCCCTTGCAAGGGGCCTCTCTTCTGCAATTTGGCGCTCCTCCGCCTGAACGAAGATGCACGGAACTTTGAGCGAAAGAAGCTACAAGTGTCGTCACGAACATCATCCTCCAAGGTACTGCACGATGTGAAAGCTTGCACCAAAACAGCTAGAATAGCACGAAATGTCTGCGCTGCTACTTAAAGACAGTGCTGCCCTAGTCGGCTTCTCAGCAGCGCGACCGCGTTTGATTGTACGGTCGGAAGATTGAAAGGCATGCTCAAATAAGGCGAATCACAGTTGTGCCTTGCAAGAGTTCAAGAGTGCTTTGCTTTCCCTAGATTCCCCCTCCCCCTCCCTCCAAACAAAAAAACTCACTCATTGCTGTGGAAGTGTCCCACGTGGCACCAATGCTTGCGCAAAACCCCCCCCCAAAAAAAACCTAAACTCTAAACGCTTAACCCCAAAGCCTAAACCCCAAGCCCGAAACCAAGCTCTTCCCCGGCCTTCAGCCTTGCCTGGAGCTCGGCTCGGGCCCGACGCTCCACGTCGCTAAGGCGCAGCGTAGGCACCTCGCCCATGTACTGCCAATTCTTGGGGCCAATGTAGGAGAAGTAGCAGTGGTACTATAAACACTATAAACCCTATAAACCCTCTATAAACCCTACTCGCCCTCTAAACCCTATAAACCCTACAAAGCCTCTAACCCCATAAACCCAGCAACAGTCATCGTGATAGTAGTAGTGATGGTCAAAGCAAAAGGACTAGTACTAATGATAGTAATAGTAATAGTAATCGTAATAGTAATATGGATAATAATCAGAATAGAAATAGTACGAGGAATAGTAATCGTAATAATAGTAATAATAATCGAAATAGTAATGGTAATGGTAATAGTGAGAGTAATAGTAATAGTAATAGTAATAGTAATAGTAATAGTAATAGTACTAGTAATAGTAATAGTAATAGTAATAGTAATAGTAATGGTAATAGTAATAGTAATAGGAATAGTAATAGTAATCGTAGCAATAGCAAAAGTAATATTTATAGTACATTCCTAAACAATACTCGATGTAATGTTGGGAATAGAGTCTGGGCTTTAGCGGAATTTCTTCGGTGGCGAGGGAAAATCTCAGTTTTAGGGTTTTGGAACACGGTGTCAGCCTAAACCGTCAACGAATAGGGTTAAGTGAAATTTCTCTAGTGGCGAGGGAAAACGTAAGGCTTTGGAATAGGTTTAAGCCTAAAATCTTCATCACATAGGGTTTACATGCATAGGGCTAAACACTAAGGGTACACCCCGCAGGCACCCGTAGCATTTCTAGTCCTGAACATTACTCGTTTGCAAGTGTTTGGGAATAGGGTCTGTGTCTCAACCTTAAACGAATAAACATAGGGAAGCTCTTTTATGTTTAGTGGAACTCTTGGAGGTTTCAGCCAAGGGCCTGTTACTGGGACAACTTTGCGTTTAACTTGGTTTTCAGATTATTTGGGATGCAATCATGGTGGGAAACACCCCGCCCCCTTACACTATGCTTACGGTGGGTTCGGGGGGGGGGGGGGTTGATTTGCGTACACAATATATTCTAAAAAATGAGTGTATTTGCCCCCTTCCATCATTTCCATCGATTTTGTCATGGGATCTTAACCTTTTTTGGTAAAAGCCTGCGTTCCTGGGGGGGGGTAGCATATACATATATAGATAGATAGATATATATATATATATATTTATGTATGTATTTATACAGAAACAGACACCCGTGATTCATTTTACTAGATCATATCACGTATGCGCACAACCGCAGCAAGCTGCCGTCCCCGTGGGTTCCAGCCTGGATGCGAGCGGGCACCACGACTGGGGTCCTGCGAGTCTCCACGAAGTGGATAATCGTTTCATTGGGCTGCCAGGCTGCCATAAGCTACAAAGCTTGGAGGGCTTGGGAGGCATCGGATCTGTAGGATTTGGGACTTTCAGCTTCCTCGGCTGATGTGCATGGAATCTTAGCACGCACATGTGCGCAACATTCAGCCTGAGCCCAGAGACCGAAATGTGTGTGAGGACTCGAACATCAGCTTTGTGTGAAAACACGCGTAAGAGTCTGTCAAATTGCGAGCAGCATGCGAACCCAAAACTGCAAGAGACTGTGCCAGCGGCCTTTCGGGCAAGGTCTGTCTCCGTTTCAGCTCTTCCTCCTCCGCCTTGGGGTCGTTCCGGCTTGGGCTGCTCACGTCGATTCTCTGTTAGGACCTTTCGAACCTCCAAAAGCTGACGGAGGCCCTGTTTGCAACCATGCCGAAATAGTTGCAGTAACATGTATGTCCCCAAGACGCCATACGTGCCGTATCAATGAGGCAAGTCAAGCAAGTCAGCAAGTGGAGGCTGCAACGGTGCAAGATTCCGAGTCGCGCAGAACTTCTCGCTCCAGCAGAATTGTGCGCTCGGGCACAAAGAGTATGGCCATCCGTATCCACTATAAAGACTTGAATTTCCTTTGAACTATTCCCCAACACCCAAGAAAGTGGCCCTGACTGTCCCGGCTTCAAACTGAAATGCCGGGAAAATGTACCAGGGTTGGGGCCCCACACAAACCGAAACCGAGACGGAAAGATCTCACCGGGGGTGCCTTCAGCCGCTCCTGCAGCTCCTCACGGCAGCGCCTTTCGGCCTCTGCCCGTAGGTTGCTCGCCTCATCGGGCCAACGGAGGGCAGAAGGATATTTTACCAAGGCTCATTACGCCACAAGGACACCAGCAGCAGCAGCACCACCACCACCAGCAGCACCACCAGCAGCACCAGCAGCAGCACCAGCAGCAGCACCAGCAGCAGCACCAGCAGCACCAGCAGCACCAGCACCACCAGTAGCACTAGCACCACCAGCACCAGGAAAAGAAACATGCAGCGCAGCAATGTGTTCCATGGCTAGATGTGCATAGCTATGCTCTGACCGACGTGAAATGGTACCTTCTAATATCTACATGGGGCTCGATAAAGACCCTGCGATCTCGCCTCTTGGTCTTGGCCAGGCTCGTCCTCGCGGCATGTGGATGACCACAGCGCGCGACAAGGGTTGTGATTTTAAGGTCCCTTTTCAGGAGTCAAGTTCGCATTGGCTACAGCAAATCCTGAGGCCACGGAGAACAGCACAGTTTGCGGATACAATAGTGAGTTTACAACAACACAACGGATCAGCCAAAGAAAACAGCTCGAGGATCGCGTAGAGGCGTAGAGCAAACCGATGGTGGCACTGCAGCAGTTGAACCATACTCAGCAAGGATGATACATCACTGTGACTGCAAGTTGCTAGAGCGAAATGGAGAGAATGTTGCGGAATGACCAAGGACGTCCGAAAACTCTGAGCGGCAGTTTGACGGCTTGTGGGAAATATCCGCTCCCCTTCCTCCCAAAGCTTGCTCTTGCTCTTGCACCTGAACCCAAGACTCACCCGGGACGTATTAGACATCTGAAAGACACGCACACACACACACACATTCACATTCTTTCGAAGATGCAAGAACGGCCACTCAGCATTCCGTTCGCATTGCAAGCGCCTACCCAAGAGCTGAGTCATTGGCCTGAAAAATGATCCAGCGTGCTCGCGGGGGATGTTAATACATTCGAGAGTAGGGACCTGCTTCGAGCTCGTTACACCTGACATGTCGCCCGATCTGGGGTGTGGGCGGCTGTGGGCGACGACCCCATGAGATACAGGACAAGCACCACGCGCAAGAAAAGACAGCAAGAAAAAATGTGCATCGAAAGAACCAAGCATCTCGCAGCTCTCCAATACTGCAACGTGCTCTCTCGAATTCCACAAGTATCCACTTTGACTCAACTTGGACTGACTCAATTCGCAGCGCTCCTCTGCGGCTTCCTCTGCGGAAGAAGACCTGCACGCTACTACAGTCCTCCACGGCTCCCAGAAGCTATGATCCTCAACTTCGCCCATAAGCCGGAGCTAAAGTTTGCATTCTGACCCGTCAAACCTTTCACACTTCTACCCAAATCGCGTGCGCAGTCGAAAATGCTTTCGCGACAACCCTTCTCACGACGGCAGCACCTGTTATGTGAGTCTCTGCAGCGGAAGCAGCATGGACAAGTTCCGGCCTGTCGAACTCGGGATTCTCCTGCTTGACAGCCTTGGACCATTGGACGTGCAACAATTGCGCCTTCTAGCTGCAACTCGTGCATAGGCATACAGTAGCACTTGTACTGACAAGGAGCAGCGTGGCTGGCTTCTCTTCTTCTTTGGCTTATTCTCAGTAGTCACTTCTTCTTCTTCTTCTTCTTCTCAAAAGGCGTGGGGATGGGGTAAAGCCAAACAAGTGTCTCTAAATGGTAAGATTTGGCTTGCTGCTAGTTTGATCTAGCTTGTTCTATTCATGTAAACGTGCAGGATTCCGGATTGGTGAATGGGCACCGGCAGTGGCTGGTGAGATGGTCTTACGCGGATGGTTCGAGCGCAACTGGAACTTGAACTGCTAAAAGTCGAAACCTCTTCCTGCGCATGGGTGCTAGTGCATTCAATGCGAAGCTTCGCCGCCATCCCCATGGGGTTCCGGCGGTATCGAAGTCGATCATATCCGGGCGTGCAAAGTACGGAAATACAAATCAGCTGTTTGCGAGAAAATAGCTTCCGGATCACGATGTTTATCAGGAGCTTTTTTCGGTGAGCAGCCCAAATCGCGCGATGATGCTCATGGCATCACGTGGTCTGAGTTTCAACCTTGTGGTGGGTTGAAGCGCAGCTCAGTATGATGGGACTAGATATTGTACTGTAGATTATTGTATCAGGACATTGTGATACTGCTATATGCTTATATCATTTCAACATTTCATTGTATCGAAATTATGCCATCATTTAACCAATTCTATGATTGTATGATCATACATTTATATTTTGACCAGAAGACACAGCAACAGAAAAAATCCTGGTGCCGATCTGAAAAGAAGCCAACACCTACTATTGAAAGTGGCACAAAACCCTGGGACATGGAGCACTCCTGCATCCTATCAACTGCATTGTTAGACCGCTATATATATATATATATACAATACTGTGAAATATTGCATATTATATATGTAACAAAACATGTATCTACATTTCTTAAAACAAAAGCTATAGTATCATTACATTGCGCGGGCCCACGAGTGTAAGCCCGAATGTTCAAGTACGCTGCGGCAAAAATCCTAAACCCGACACCGAGACCCTCTAACCCCTGAACCCCTTCAAGCCCAAATCACCCTAAACCCTACACTCTAACCCCTAAACCCTACAACCCTTGCGCGAATCAGCAGCCAAGGTCTGGGCCACCATGAGAGGCTCATTGCCATCCTGGCTGGGATCGCACTGACACAATTTGCTGATTCTGAATCTTCTCTCCTGCTGGCGCGCATCGCAATGAATCAATGACCTTCTTGTGGGTCCGGAATCCCGTTAGTTGGGATGCGGCGGGTGATTCATGTCACAAAAAAATGCGTGTGCAATCTCATCGCTGCATGAAAGGGTTCCGGAAGGGCGTCCCAAGCCGAGGACTAGGTGGGATTGAATTTAGGTTGACTCGCGACTTCGCTTCGCGACTTCCCCACAGAGGGGCTGCAGGAACGGCCTCTTTCTTTGCGTGCACCTGTCGTCCAGCCTCGGCAATCGCAAAGTGGGGAAATTGCGGCCGCAATATCTTTGAGCTGTGCGATTGCTTGTCTTGTCTTGCTACGGTGTAACAGAGACTTGCCCAGACAATCAAGTCCAAACTTTGATATGTCTGGGGTACCCACGTTCTGTCGCTTCCGCCGCCTCAGGATTCAAAAATGTGCATCCAAGTCTTGGTCCAAACCTTATGGCATAGCGTTCGTCCCTTCACAGTTCTGCCAGGCATGTAACCGCCGTAGCCTGTCTTGACTCTAAATTGTACCCGGTCCACGCAGCTGCACAACGCATTGTAGTACGACATGTCTCGGCCCTTGACCGCTTTGCCGGGGGCCCGGGTGCGGCAGCACGCCTGCAGAGGCCCCACGCCAAGGTGAGCTGATGCGGTCCGCAGATCTTTACCGGTCGGGCCCTTAAGTACAGGAAAGCCTCGATTTCATGAGCCGGCCTTTAACAACTTTAACAAGTGACTGTCCGAGCAATGGCGAGAATACTCGGTGGCGTGATTCAGCGTGTCGGGGAGGCGCAACAATTTCAGGCCACGGTCATTCAGAAGAGCCACAGGTGCCACAGGTCTTGGAAGGGTCTGCTCCGGAACGAATGGGCTAGAGAGAGTTGCAACCCGAGTTGCAACCATGGTACCTCAAAACGTTTGACGATCCGCCGCAAGCGCTTGGCGATTACGAACATTTTCGACTCACGTGACGAAGGCGAGAGCGCTACGAAACCAGATTGGCCTGGCAGCATACAAGTTTGTGACATGCTCGGAATGCAGGCGAGAGTACAGCAGGCTGGCTATACTGACCTCCCTTGAAATCCACCTGCCATTTCTCGATTCCACAAGGTCACTGGACGCAACTCCTTCCTACTGGTCAGAAGTCGCCCAAGACACTCATGGATTAGGACAGCCAAGCATGTGTGCGTTTCAGAACTTCAGTGTCTTCTTGCTAAGTCCTGGTTCAGAATCCCTGGCCTAGCGCCAGGCTCGCCAGACTCCATGGGTGCTCGTTCATGGGCCAGGACAAGGTGGTGATTCGGGCAGCTTCTCAGGGTCAGGGTTTGGAGTTTAGGGTCTGGGGTTTAGGATTGCATTTGGACGAACTATGATCTGCCACGGAAAGGTGGGGGCGTGGGATGTGCAAAGTTAGTTCTGTAGCTAGACATCCATCGCAAACTCTGCAGCCGAACCATCCGGCAGTGATTGGCATTTTGCGCAGGCTTCTCGTTTCATGGTCTCAGCAACTAGGACAACAGCAGATAGCAGGGACGCAAGGATACTCGTTTCTAGATGGGCTCGGGGAGGCGGCCGGTAGATTTAGAGTGTGCTAAGTGTCCTGAGCCAGAAAGAGTTGACTTTGGCCAGGGGCTGCAGATCCTTTAGGCTGTGTTGGTTATGCACGTGAGGCATCTCGAATCTCCCTGCCACTCGACAAGTCTGCTACAGAACATGTTGCAGCCTTCAGAGACATTCAGAAGTTTTCACAGATGGTGGTATTGTGCATGCTCTGGAAGTCCAACCCAAACATGGAGAGTGCTGCATTTTGCTGAGGCTGCGTGTTGGCTGGGACCGGTGGTGCATGGTCGCCTTCTGCTACGCTGCCACAGAAATGCTTTGTCCCGCAGAGCTTAGCAGACGTCATGGCTTAGCAGCCGCCGCTCACTTTGGAAGCGCCATCCAGGCAATACCTGCAGAATGTACTGGGGGCGACGCGGAGAAACTGCATCGGTTTCTGAATGTACGAAACAACTCCACAAGATACAGCCACACTAAGCCGAGCAGCTCAACTTGGCTTGCAGTGTTCCGCCACAGCTCAGGTCAAATCCACCTTCCACCTTCCGGAAAACTTCACAGAACAGTTGCTCTGGGATTCTGCGAGTCGACTACCTCCACGCTCAAACCGGTTCAGATTGCCAGTATTGTCTTTAATTATGATGAATATAGTCCAAGCTTTCAGCTTCGACTTGGGGGTACACGTCTTGATGACAAGCTTAACCAAGCATGGGAACAAAGCCGTTCCCTTCCGGTAAGCACCTGGGAAACGGCCACGTCTGCTAGACGAACCACCACTGGCTGCGCCACACGCCTGCCCAGGGTGTATTTGAGGCAATGCTCGCGCAGATCTGCAACTAGTGCTATCCGACAACATACTCTGGTCGCCGAGACAACTGCAAATCTGCAGGCGAGGCGAAACAGCCAAATGCCTTGTTTCCTTTTGCTCGACCAGCATTGCTTTTGAGAATAACCTTTGAAACTTAATGTTAGACGCGCATTAGTAGGGTTCCCCGTATACAGTCAAGTTGGCCGGGCTATTCAGGACACCCTGACTGTTTGGGGTGCAGACCAGGACCCGCTTTAAAGTCAAATCGTTCCCGAAAGTCTGCATTTTTTGTGGATTTAGGGTTTGTTTTGAAGCCCGGCCCCGGGCCCGGGGCTCTGGATTTCGATGCCTCTTGGTTTAAAGGAGGGCTGTTGAATCTCGAAGGCAGGCCTCCTTTCCAAGACCCCGAAGATCCGGAAGCCCGACAAAGCCGAAACCAAGGATTCCCTTTCAAATTCTAGAAAAAATTGTCTTGATCAACCCGGGAACGGGGTGGTCCAGAACCTAGCCCAACTTCGAATAATGGGCATTGTTCCGGGACCCATTTTAAGTCCTGGCCCTGGGCCCTGGATATCGAAAATCATATGGGTCCCTTTAGATTTCATATAAACTCAGTATTGTAAACTCATCCTTTTGACATCATATGCACCCCTGTTACCTTGACATAAACTCCTCCCTATGAACATCATACAAAAACCGTCGGACCGTATCAAGAGAACGAAAACCAGCTTCGACTGCTCTGGGAGGGGGGGGGCGATGGCGGGGGGCCCTCACACTAAAGCAGGTCCAACATGATTGGCTGCATTGTCTGTTCTCATGGTACTTACAGACTCACCGTATTCCCAGGCGTGCACTCGTTCTTCGGACGTGTGTTGACTTGGTGTGGCCGCACGCAAAGTGCCATGAAATGCCGCAGACAAGTTGAATCGCCGGGCAGGGTTGCACATGCTTCGAAAGAGAGACGCCAAGTAATAGTCGTTGAACATCCAAAGTGCGCAAGTCTGTTTGGATGAGGCAGGTTCTGTCAGGATGTAGCAATGAGCAGCATGATTTGATCTGAACAGCGCGGTCCTGGCCATGCGCTGCACGCGCACAACGTGTGTATGATTCATGCCCTGCGACATGGTGTTCAATTTTCAGGCAAGTTGCTACAAGACTTTGCAGTATAGCACCGCCTTGCAGTCCAATTTTGACACACTTGTGTAGTCACTTCAGGTAAAGCATCGTGCAGTTCACATGGATGCCGGGCTGTTAATGAGGTCGCTGTGCGTGCGTCTGCAAAATCTATATGTCTGTGTGACGTGGCTGTATGAGGGAAACGGGAAACATGCAGGCCCGCGCCAATAACAGGCTTCGTGCTTCTTCGATCTTCTTCGCATATCAGTCGTCCCAGCTATCTGCTGATCAGCAGTACGAAACGGTCCCTTGACTTCCAAGCCCTACTCCCTTGCGAAGAATTCGCGATTGCGAGGTCTGGGGGGGGGGGTATTCCGGAAGATAATCGGGAGCCGGCCTGTCGCTTCGGTCCAATATGGCAAGTGACACCGCCTGACAACAGGCCAAAAGCGAGGCAAAGGAAGTCTAAAGGTTATTGGGCTCACTGTCAAGAACCCCCCCCCTCGCCCTGTACCTTTCTATGCACAGCTGAGAGAGGATGAAGTCGAGAACTATAGTCACGTCTTCCTGACGGGTCTTTCTCTCTCCTCCTGGCCAAGAAAAGCCTGCCCTTGAATACCCAGTCGCAGTTCGTTGGGTCTTGAATCCACCACCTACGCCCACTGTTTCACTGTCCCCCCCACCCCCCGGCAACAATCGTCCTCACGGCAGGGATACGCTGCAACGCACTATTCCCAAACAGTTTCTTTATTCTTCAACATCTCTGTCCAAAACATTTTTACGCGCCCGCTTTCTTATTTCAGCCGAACTCAAGCAAACCATCTCACAGCACACCGAAGCATACCGAAGCCGAGTAAGGATTTCGGTCAAGACTCAAAACACGACGCAAGACAGCGACCTAAGCCAGCCTGGAACCCTCCACAACAATCCTCCACATATGTCCACATCAAGGAAGGCACAATCTCCAGCCAGATAAACGGGGATGCTCCACACACCCGGATCCCTCTGCGTGGCTGCCGGGGGATCTTCAGAGGCTTGATGTTGCTTTTGGGGGAAAGGGCACAAGGCCTCTTGCTTTTGTCCCGCTAGTTTCCTGTGATTAACCAAACCCTCCGAATCCACTGCGCTCCAGAGAAGCGGGCCGCAGAGTTGATGACTTCCGACGTCCACGGAAGGGGTAGTCGCAGGATCTCGTTGAATGCCGGGTGCCTCCCGCACTCCAAAGCACCGTCACGCTCATGACAGCTGCTTTGAGGCTACATAGAACCCCTGTTCATGGATTGCGAACATTTGCGGAGCAAGTCCTGCTGAACAATGCCAAGTCTAAATTTCTAAACCCATGCCGAGGGACGTTGCGCTGAGCTCAGCAACTGCTTCCTCCACAGGCTTCAGCAGCACACTAGATTCCGTTACCTTTCGGGCTTCTGTGTAATGATCCGCTTGGAAAAGGAGCATGTGGCTCACGGATAAGCTGGGAAAGTCTCATTCGAAAGTCAAGGATGAAAAACTGCATCAACACCTGGGCTACACCGGAGACTTCGAATCACCAATCAAATCTCAGCCTTCTTTGCACGGGCATAGTTCTGCGGAGAGTCCTTGGCTGGCAGCGGCTGCATACAGTCTGCTCATGTCTGCAGTTTGCTTGCTCTTCTTTGTCTTCATGGTGCGAGTGTCAGCGCACCAGGGCAGAGCAGCACTGCCGCAACCACAAAGCAGCACTTAAATTTTGACTTGGGGTCCTGTGCTATTGCGAGGGTCACCGAGCGTGGCTCCAGGCCTGCGCCGATTCTGGCTGAATCTTGTCAAATTCGAGAAGTTTGCAAAGACTGCTGTTGCTGCATGGCGCGGTCGTAAAAGTGGTGGGAGCCATCAAGAGGGTGCACCAGCGCCATGAGTGAAAATTGTCTGTTTGAGTCTTGCTTAGACCCCTTGGCGGAAGACAACAATGCAACACAGCCCTACAAGTATGTAAAAAGCCCTGGAAGCGATCGCAGTGGCTCGTCCTCGCCTGTAATTTCCGAGATCTGCTCGATCGGCTGCCGCGCTTTGGCGAGTCTGGCAAGGTCAAATGGGAGGGCAGCACTTTAAATACAGGAGCACTTCAAGCATGCCCAGCACACCCTACTGTACCGGCAAGCAGACAAGCAACCTTTGCATGATGCACAAGGCGATTGCGTGGATCGAAGACCGTTCGAGGACTTGAGATTGGCTGACTACTTAGATTTACAAGCCTGCCTGTGCAGGCTAATCTAAGATGCTGGTCGCTCGATCCCCCCAAGTCGTACCTGCGAGCGATGTCAGCAACCTCGACAGCAACGGGCTTGATGTTGCTTGGCCTCAGCGCTGCAAGTGCGCACCAATGCGTAGTGACACCATCCTTCTTCATAACAGTCACCGAAAAAGCATGAAACAGCTCAACCCGTCACCAAGTTCCTGGAAGCCGTGGGCCCTGCGACTGGCTCTTCCGGCTGCTACTCGAAGCGTTGACGACGCTGATCTCCATTTGCACAACCTCGTCACTCGGTGGCAGCTGCTTGATGCCCGTGTGGCACAAGCTCGAAGTTGCTGGACAGAGGCAGGAAAGAAGCTCGGAGAATTGAGGCAACAGACTACCTCTTGCCAGATCTATAGGAGCATTCGAGCAGAATGCTCCACTTGTGTCTTTCAGCTGCTATGCGGAGAAATACGAGGGTCATTCGAACGCTGGGCTCAAGGACGAATGGAGGTTTCCAGGACTTTGGCCTGGCTGATGCATGGAACTGCCGGAGAGTGTTTAGGGCCAGGGTATCTAAATGTCACAGGGTGTGCGCATAGTGTTTATAGCTTACAGGGTTTTAATAGGGTGTTAATACGTGTCTCCTCTCCGAAAGGCTTCGCCCTTGTCGCGTGGCAACTCGTGATGTTGTCTCAGCGCTGCTCACACGCAGCGCTGCTCACACGCAGCGGGATCATCTTCCGTTGAGGAGCCGTCGTGCGCAAGGATGACGCACAACTACACACGCAGACATGGCGTGCCCATAAGCAACAGTGAAGATCGCCTGAAAGCGAAGGTTCTGATGGAATTGGGGAGCTCTAGTATTGGTTCACATCTGCCAGGTTTTCCTGAGCCTTGCCCGAAGCACCTTCACGCTAGTCCACGGTTGTCAAGGAAAATACCTCAGGACCCTCATAAAGTTCGAGACCGCTACGGCTTATTCCATCGAACAAGACTTGCCAGGCACACAGATCCGTGATGCCTGCGCATGATTTTGATGCTTCATCACGCGAGAGCTGAATGCTATTTCTGCCGGAGGAGTTGTAGTGAAAGAGCAACTTGCGGCGCTACTACGCGCTACTCCTTAAGGTCAGCATGCGCGACTTACAAGCAGGCACAGCGTTTCATCTGTGCACTGTGCCTAGCAGCTTCACGGCCAGGACCAGTTGCGAAGGGCCCCTTAGCACGACTTTGTTTAGTAAGGGGGTGCTCCACTGCTGACAGCTGGCAACAATGAACACTGCTTGCATTCAGTTGCCCAGCAGCAGAAGCAATCCAACAACTGGTACAGGAAGGCAGTTTCCATGCCACCACCCCTACCCCTACCCCACATCCCACATCGCTGTGTCGAACTTGAGAAGCCCGCGGCACTAAATGATATCAAAAGCAGACTGAGTGCTTGTGGCTCATGACCCAGCTTCTGATCATCATGTCAGCGCACTGCTACAGCAGTGTAGCATGTCCAGCTTCTTTCCAAAGTTGCCTGACCTATGCTTGTCATGGTCCAAACCCGCAAGTACTACTGCACATTCCGGCCGCGACCAGCACTGTCGTGTGTTTCAAAAGCACACGGTGATGTTCAATTAATGAGGTGGCTTAAACTTGAAGATGTTGTCCTTGGTCTGCAAATTCCGCCTTTAGCTTCAATCTGCATCCGCAAGCTCCGAGCGCCAGCACCGGGCCACAGCTGGAGGGATGCCAGCCAGCGGGGCCACGGGAGAGAGCTCAAACCTCGAGAAACTCTGAGAGGATGCAAGCCGGGTGCCATGTGGTTCAGCATGGCTGAGCAGAAAGTCGGCGTTTCAATAAATTCGGAACTGCGCCCCGGGCCAGCGCGACGAAATTTGCAAAGTCCCTGCTGGCCCGCCCCTTAGAGCAGTCGTCAAGTTGGATGGCACACTCAAGAATCAGCACTTGCCAACACTAAGGCTGCGACTTTAAGCCGAGTGCAAGGTCCGTGTCACAAGGCTTGGCAGCCATGAGCGCTTGAAGGTCGATCTGCCAAGGCAGCCAAGGGACATTCACGACGGGGCGAACGTGGCATGAAGTGCCCTTCAGTCAGGAAATTACCGGGGGCATGTCCCAAGATTAGGGTACATGTTTTGGTTGTCCTTGTAAATAGCATATTTGGGGTATGTATGCTGTAAGAGAAATACCGTCTTTTGTGGAACCGTACACCGAATGCTCTTTGTGACCCTTCCGGGCCCCCAAGACTGAGCCGATCAGATCATCGCGAGAGTAGGTGTCCTGCCGCATGCTCTTTGCGGACGTGCAAACCCACATGGCCGCCACTCTGCGCGACTAATAATCGCTCCCCTCGATGATGAAAGGGAGCCTAAGAGTAAACCAAAGAAAGAAATAACCACCTAAAGAACGGCTCTGCTGAGGTCCAGAGGGCTCCGTCCTCTGTGAATCAATTTGAGGAGGGGTCTTGCAAAAGCTATTCAGGAAAAGCCACCCCCCCACAAATTCATTCACAGAGGACCGAGCCTTCTGGGGAGCCACCAATTCAATATAACAAATGCATAATCTATTTGAGCGTGTCATTTGCTAACTCGCGAATTGTAATCAATTATTGCAAGGGTGGCCAGCAACTGATTCTTTCCGGCAGCCTGTAATTTCGTCAAGAAACTTTTTATTGCAGAACTGATTTAGCACCCGTTATTGGCTTCCTGGGATGCAACATGCATTTGTCGGGGGCTACAAAATGAATTTTCGTCTCGTCGCAGAATTGCTCTTCTTAATGGTTGAGGTCTTCGGGGCCTTGGGGTTTAAGGTTTCGGTGCAAAAGGTTTCGGGCTTCGGGGTTCAAAACTGATTTGTCTTGGAAAATTCATTTTGGGTCTAAACGACGTTTTTGCGGTTCAGGGCTTCGGTTGTAAGGTTTCGGGATTCCAAATGCATTTGGGGGAGGGGGGCGGCAAGGAAAGGAAAATGTATGTTGGGTCTCCGGGAGCAAAATGCAGTTTGTGGTCCCTGAAATATACATTTTTTGGTCTCGCCACAGCGTTGCTCCAGTTTGCGACTTAGGGCTTCGGGACTTTAGGGTTCATAGGGTTGTGTCGTTGAGGGTTTAGTTCAACACGAGGGGCAGGGTATTCGGATCATGCCCCTAATGTGACTCCAAATTCCCCTCTCCCCCCTCCCCCCCCCCAACCCCCCTGGGCCATAGATTCGGATGGTTTCAGTCAGCCTAGCGCGACTTGCGATTTCAATGGTTTTCCGCATTCTACTCTTCTCAGCAGGGATCCAAAACAGCACGCAGTAGCAATGTCAAGAGTAGCAGTGTCAAGAGCAGTCGGCTCATTCTGGAGACTCAGACAACAATGCAGCCTCGCACAGACGTCCGGACTCCGGACGACTGGCACACCCTCTCGGAATTGCTGGGGGCTTTAAGTTTCCTCCAGGATTGAGATGTCTTTGTGCAGACCAGTGACGGAGAGCTCAACAGAATCCGACCGAAAATCACGCAGGCTTAGTCAACACAATGGCCAGGCAGCCTGCGATGCTTCGGGTCCTTGTCATAAACCAAGATGTTGGCCTTCTGGCTACGGTCGTACACCAGGAAGTCCTGCACGTTTCCGTGCTCCCAGACCTCGTCGGCTGCCCCAAACGTACCAAACGCCCCCCTTTGCACACCCTGATATGAGAAACTCTGAGGAACTCCGAGGAACTGATGAGCATCAGATTGCCGAATCAGACTTTTCAATTCGCAGCCTGAGGCTGCAGCCGGATTCAAAGATTTCTCGACGACGGAGGACTGCCAGCGCTGCTGGCCAACCTTCGCCAAACAGCCACGCATGTTGAGGGGCATTTTGAGGCGTTCAGGGTTGCAAGGGTGTAGGGCCTAGGGCTTTCTCGCTTCGGGTTCGGTCGGCCTCGATAACGACGAAGGGGTCCTGCGCAAGACGACGGGAACTTGTTGATCTTGTGGCAATTCTGAAGTTAGGTTCGACTGTGCACTACCAAACTGGACCAAACTTCACTTTAACTGGTGCACCCTCCGGGTCCGACGAGGGGTGCAGGCCAAAGTCGGATGCAACGAGGTCCACGCCCCTCCTGAGAAGGCAGAGAGAAAGAGTGTGCGCGCAGCACCCGTGCACGGTACACCGTGTGTTCCGAGTTCTTCAAGCCAAGTCTTAGCACAGTCCAAAGACATCTTGGTGAAGTCGAGACCAAGCTCTCCGAAGAGACTGGAGTAGACAACACGACAATACGAATCCCCAACAGGCTGCAAAGTTCCCAAGCTCAAACACATTCAACAGCCCTGAAATCATCTCGAACATGTTAGGTCATGTAATGTGCACCCTAAATCCTAAACCCTATCCCTTTCCAGCTCCTCACGAGGATGCGGAGGATGCCAATGGGAGGGGGGAAGCTGAGGTCAGCCTGGGCCCAACTGTCAAGGTTGGAGGTCGTTCCTTGGTTCAGGGCCTGCAGGGCTTATCGTTTGGGAATTGAACTAGGGTTCTTTTTGTGGGTGCCAAGAAATGGCGAGATGTACCGATGGGACGCGCCTGATCGGTGTCGTCGTCCTGGAAGCAAACGAAAAAATTTTGGGGGGCAAGTGATTCATTGTGAAGAGATCCCTCATCAAAACACGAGACCCCCAGCTGGATGTACTCCAAGCCCTGCACACAGAATCTCTGGTAAGCTTTCCAAACAATCGCCATGATATGCCAGAATCTCTAGAGCAGAAAGTCCTCTTTCAGGTCAATGGCAATCCGTGCTGGCAAGACAACCTTCAGAGAGACTTGGGTGGTAGGTACAAATTGATGCCGGTTGAATGCCGCGGCCGTGGCCAATTCTAGAACACTGTGGATGCGATCTACTACGAATAGGGAAGCGGCGGGCTGCTGCATGAACAAAACGTGAATTTGATTGGCCAACGCCCAATGTGGAGCTGCGGCACCAACATGCTTGTCATGCAGAGGCATCACGAAACACGATGAGCTGTACATGACGGGCATCGGGCAGCAGCGCTCACGACATTCAGGATTGTGGACCTGCACCAATCTGAAGCAGCGATTGGTGGCGGATCGGGCAACCACGAAAGCGACTGCTCTCTCAATGCATGCCCAATAGAAGCAGAAAGCCAAGTTCCAGTCTGTTAGGCCAAACATGTGCAGAACAACCACACACGAAAAACGATGCGAAGTGATAAGAAGCGCAAACTGAACTTGTCAGGCGAAGGTCAGCAGCGGATTCGGAAACTGAAAACGCCAGATTCAGAAACTGGAACAACGTGATTCGGAATTCGGAAAATTGCAAAGCGCAGACTCGAGAACAAAGAGCGGAGCGGACTTGAGAAACCAAACGCGCAGAATCGGAAACTGGAAACTCGAAACTCGCATGCCCCCGCCCCCAGCCTCGCCCCAGCCGCCCCAAAGTTTCTTGAGGCGCAATTAATTCCCTGAGTCGTCGGAGTTTGATGAACACTGGTTTCCTGATTGGCATTGACTGTACGCTGCCGTGCGTTTTCCATGACTGAGTCTCAGATCGACATAAGTGGGAAGGAAAGCAGGGATCTTGCCAGCACAACGTGTCTCAGTCTCACTGCGTACCGGCGTGATTCGGCGCGCAAGTGTTCATCTCTGCTTGGCAACACCAAGTCGCACACGAAAAGAAGGCCTCATTTGCTCTCTACTGCTGCATGTGTCTTGAAGCTTGGACACCCAAACGAGGGAACCGTTGCCTCACAACTTCACGGACAATGGGCATGTCCACAAAGTCGGCAGCACCTGTGAAGTCCATGTCCAGCCTGTCAGAATCTGGAGCTGAGCGATGCTGCACGCGATGCTGAACGCGTGTCGCGAAGCGATGCTGCGCCTGGGCGGGTCGATGAAGAACACCGTCACACCTGTCAGGTTCTGTGCATCGGGGCAAGCCTTCCCTATAGCAGATAGAAAGAAGGGCCCCCACTCCACGACTGCCAAGCTGCTGCTCGGCTTCAGCTACCCTCAAACATAAAGCCACTACAGAAGCTGAGGATAGCTACGCGACCCAAGACGTAAGAATGAGAAACTGATAGTAGATCTGCATCTCCAGATTCGCGTGTCTGGCGTATCTCTCTTCCCAGGGTGGAACGCAAGCCCATGCACCTCCAAAGAACGGCGGCCTTGAGAAACAGAGGACTGTCCCCTTCCCCAAATCAAACATTCAGCAATCCCGGATATGCACGGATGTCTCTTGAAGTGATGGGCACCGCACGCAGCGGTCACAGGATGAAAGACGACGTTCAACCTTTCTTTAGCAGCACAGCACAGCTTTAAAGCAAGATGATGAGCAATTTGCAAGAATTGCGACAACGTCGACAGGCCACTACGGCTACAGCATCGTTTCTTGCTGCTACTACCTAATCTGCTTCCGCCATGCCGCAGCATGGACATTATGCACGATTTTTCGATCATGACTCAGCAAGCACCTTCTTGCAGCACGGAGGGCACTGGCACCGTATGGAAGTGTGCTGATTGAATTTGATACCATCAGCCCTAAACCACGCGTGCGCAATTCGAGAGATCTCAAACTCAGCACAGGGCTCGCCGGAGAACCTCAGATGAACTTCCGGCGATGTTCTTGTTGAAGCATGCTCTCTCCCCACCCTATCAAGCAATGGTGCAGTCAAGAACGAAAGAACGAAAGACCTAGCCATGCACTTCACATTCCGAAGTGTAGAGCGCGCACCGTGGCAGATCTCATGGCCAAGCTGCTTCAACCGCTTCATCCCAATCGGCACCCTCAAAGCTTGAATCTGAACCTGAGATTCACTGGAATGTGACACATTGCCTGGGAATTACTATCAGGCATCCGGTGAAAGGCTCGGGCATCCATGTCGGAAGACAGCTCTATACCTTTAGCACATTGCACTGCAGTCTCTGCAGCTCAAATGGACGCTTCGTGTGACACATGGTGCTGTCGTCACCAGATGCTCAGAGAAGCTCGGTGCCATGCTCACCCGCAAGACGATGGCCCCATCGTCCCGCTCCTGGTGCAGGCTGTACCACGACGACACCCGATATGGGAAGCTTACTCGTGCGTCGTGCACTCTTTCAAAACAACAGGGTCGCAATAGGTCTCAATGCACAAGGATTCCTGTAAGCAGATGTGGCGAAACGCTGGCACAGCTTTGCCGAGATTGACCTTCGGAAACTTCACCTGAGTACATGGTGGCGCTTCACAGTCGGACGTAAGACTTTCAGGTTGCCCCCCCCCCCCCCCCCCCCCCCCCCCCCCGCCCCCCTCCCCCTGAAAGAATCTCCATGCAGAGACTCCAGCGGCGCTTTGAAATGTCCATCCGGTGAACGTTTTGAGATTCCGACCGCCTTCTGAACCGGCGCTGCACTGGCAGAGCTAAGCCAAAAGGCAAACTGCCGCTTAAGGCCGAGACTGGTCGTGTCGAGAGGTCAGGGAAGATTGTATTTTTTCCTCATAGCACTATACGTCCTGGAAACCCCTCAAGAGGGGCACCCCGACCCCCAAGAAGGAGCTGAGCTGAGGGATGCTAGGCGCGAAGCTGCCCAAAGAGACCAGCTCATGTCGATGTCTTCAGAAATTCAGAGTGTCTTTTGAATGCGACTGCCGAAGACAAGCTGACAAAAGCACTCGATAGTTGGTCGCCCTCTTGGTGCCAGTTGAGCCAGTCGATATGTACGAGCATCAGGCTGCTTCCAGCGGAATGCAGTATGTGTCGACATGTGTAGGAATATATTATATCCTGCTCGCCGCGGGCTCTCCAGGCGTCCTACGGTCTCTGTGTGATGCATCTGACATGTCAGCGCAAGAATCGTGAAGCCACGACGAGCTTCGAGATGGCGCAAAAGCTCCGAGAACATGCGGGAAGCAGAGGGCTCGAGTGGCTAGTACAGAAACTGAGACATTCACGCTGCCCTTCATCATCTTCGGCAGTGCCTGTGAGCAGCAAAGACAGTAGATGGCAGACATCCGGACAACTGCATGTCAAAAAGCAGGCCCGACAGTAAAATCATCAACCCCAAATTTCTCTCGACAACTCTCTCATCTCCAGACTCTCAAAGCCATGGCCCGATCGATCTCGGGGATGATTTGCTCCTCAATGCACCAAAAGCATCGCTCGCATGTGCAAGGATAGCTAGTAGCAGCTCTGGCATGGCAGCTCGGCTGTAGCAGCTGTAGGAGCTGTTGCTCTGCAGCGTGCGAAACCTTTTCGCGCGGTCCTGAACCATGACTCCTGCAGGGCATGAGGGTTGCTTTTCGAGTTCTGAACTCTCCGAGACTGCTAGAGCGCGGCACTCAAAGGTATTTAGTTAATGCTTTGCATGCAGGAACATCCATGGCATGCATGCTTGCAGCAAACCGGCAAACTGCGGCAGCAAACAGGCCGCTTGTTTCGAGGTTCTCCTAGCTTTTTGTTTCGGAATGGCCCGAAATTCAAGCAGCTGAAACGGTGCTTTCTTGCAGCCTGTTTCTTTGTTTGTTGGACTCAGTCCGCCAAACAGGTTTTGCTAAGGGGCGCTTGAGGTGGAGGGTTTGGGTTCCTTCAACTCGAACCCGCCCGAGCCCTCGGTCGTCTTTCGGACGGGGGCGCAATGTGAGGCGCGAACTCGTGTGGAGTACAGCATGCGCAGAGGCAGAAAGCTAGTCTCAGAAATTGGCCACTTCAGTCTTTAGCCTTGCCGTTCATGAATAGCTAGGAAGCCAGTCAGAAAAGCAGAACGAGTCAGAAAGAAAAAACCAGGCCAGCTGAGTCAGAAAAAAACAAACGGGAGTTTTCATAACACGCGGCAAACACAAACGAGCTTTGCTTATTGAACATACACCGAAAGCCCTAAACCCTAAAAACCCTCAAAAAACTCAAACCCCCAAAAAACCCTACACAGTCAGTGCTTCTCTCTCTTCCTTCCTTCCTTCGCAGGGGCGTGCTCAAACGATCCAGTCTTCTTTTTTTTCTTCTACATGGCCTGAAGGGCCCGAGAGCCCTCCGCTCACGAAGGCGCCCAGTTCACGAGGTTGTTCCCTTGGGTGAGAGTAGTGACACGGGGCTCACGTCGGTAGTTTGGAAAGCTCGGCTCTCTCCTCCCCCGTCTCCCCAAGGTCCTTAGTAGTCCTTAGTGACCCCTCCAACACACGTTCCCTATTAAGCGAGTTTCCCCCGGCCGATTCTTTACGTTTGCCCATCTCTTGCTGACTACGGAGAACCGGCTTCCCCGTTCGGGCCCACACTCTATAAAACCAGGCTACTCGGACACGATCCAGTCCTCTCTCTCTCTCGCAAATTCTTGAGATTGACAGGCTGGATCTTCCCCTGCAGCAACCAGCATCTTCTCTTGATTTCTCCTATTCCTAGCTCTGCCCAACTTGTCAACCTCTGCAACCCAGGGCTCCGAGGAACTTGTCGATGCGCGGCCAGAGGATGTGGAGGAGGTTTTGAAGCCACTTGCACTGGGCAGCATGTGGGGGTTTCCGAAAATCAGGGTGATTTTTGTTGGGGTCCTCTTCTTATGGGGGGGAACCCTATACTCTTTGCGGTTCTACATTTATGAGGGTTCCCCTTTTTCGGAAAACAGTTCATGTGGAACACAGAGGAAGAAGAGAAAGAACCAAAAAGCTTTCGGAGGCACATCCAGCACTTGTCAGGCGGGCTCCGCGTGTCTTTGCGGAGCCCCCCCAAAAGAAATAGAATGTAAAAATCTCTATG